CCGTCTCAAAAAAAAAAAAAAAAAAAAAAAAAAGGAAGAGAACATGAACAATTTTTATAAAATTACCATGTGTGTTTGGAAAGATATATTCTCTCATTCTTGGGTATAGGAGTCTCTGATTGCCCATTCATCTTTCGGAGAATATCTCCATTTCTGCCTGCTCGGTCAATCAGTTCCTGAGAGATGGAAAGAATGCAGATGATGACTTTCTACTGTAGTAATACATGTGGCAGCCATGGACCTATGCTGCTCAGCTTCCCCTTCAAAGGGACCTCCTGTGGGGAGTGTGCTGGGCCAACCGCCTTCAGACCACCATGGTATTCAAGCCAAAACCACATTCCTGTCCCTCTGACCACAGTTACTCTCAGCCAGTGACTAATCACCAAGCGGGTACTAGGACCACAACTGCCTAGTGCAAGGGCTCTCTTACAAGGAGTCACTGCTCAGAGACTCTCCATCTGTCTGGCCAAGCTTGCTCAGAGTCCTGCTGCAGCCTGAGGCTTCCTCCTTCCCTATCTCCCTCCCTCCCTCCTTTAGAAGTCAGACCTGCCTTGCGGCCTGAAAGTTCTCCTAGCCTGCAGCTTCTTTGCCGCTTCTTTTTTTTTTTTTTTTTGAGACAAAGTCTTGCTCTTTCGCCAGGTTGGAGTGCAGTGGTGTGATATCGACCCACTGCAACCTCTACCTCCTGGGTTCAAGTGAATCTTCTGCCTCAGCCTCCCAAGTAGCTGGGATTACAGGCACATGCTACCACACCCTGCTAATTTTTGTGTTTTTAGTAGAGATGGGGTTTCACCATGTTGGCCAGGATGGTATCGATCTCTTGACCTCGTGATCTGCCAACCTCAGCCTCCCAAAGTGCTAGGATTACAGGTGTGAGCCACTGCACCCGGCCTTGCTTCTGTTTTTTTTGAGACAGGGTCGCACTCTGTCTCCCAGGCTGGAGGGCAGTGGCATGATTACTGCTCACTGTAATCTCGACCTCCAGGGCTCAATATGATCCTCCTGCCTCAGCCTCCCAGGTGACTGGGACCACAGGCATGTGCCTCGATGCCTGGCTAATTATTTTATTTTTTGTAGAGATGGGGTCTCCCTATGTTGCTCAGGCTGGTCTCAAACTCCTGTGCTCAAGCAATCCTCCCACCTCGACTTCCCAAAGTGCTGGGGTTATAGGCGTGAGCCACCATGCCCAGCCCCAGCCTGCTTCTGCACTCTCCCCTTCATCCTCGTGAATCTAATGTGTATCTAATCTAATCTCTTGTGTATCTAATGCCATCTTGGCATTTATTTCATGGAATCCAAACTAGCCCAGGGAATTTGTTCATTTCTCCTTGTAATTGTGACAATTCTTGACATATTTTGGGGTGCACAGAAGTTCAACTTCTTATATATTCTTGATGAATTGTTCCTATTATTATATATAACAATCCTCCTAATTCTGAACACAATTTATTCCATATCTATGCCCCTGAACAATACATAGTATCGTTCTATATTTTTTCAACTTTAAAGTTACTGTTTTGAAGTATTCCTCTCCAATTTATGTTTCTGAGATTTATTCATGTAGATACATATAGTTGCAGTTTATTTTTACTGCTTTACATTAATCTGTTGTCTGCATAAAACACAATGTATTTATCTCCTCTGCCACTGAAGGACAGTGTTTTGTTGAAGATGGAGTTTTGCTCTTGTTGTCCAGGCTGGAGTACAATGGTTCAATCTCTGCCCACCGCAACCTCTGCCTCCCAGGTTCAAGCAATTCTCCTGCCTCAGCCTCCTGAGTAGCTGGGATTACAGGCATGCACCACCATGCCCAGCTAATTTGTATTTTTAGTAGAGACAAGGTTTCTCCATCTTGTTCAGATTGGTCTCAAACTCTTGATCTCAGGTGATCCTCCCACCTCGGCCTCCCAAAGTGCTGGGATTATAGGCATGAGCCACTGTGCCTGGCCCAGAAAGGTTTTTTAAAATGTAAATATAGTCAGATCTTTCACTCATTTAATTTATAACTTGTACTTTTAGTGTCTTATTTAAGAAATCTTTTGCTACTCCAAGGCTGTAAAAATTTATCCTGGCCAGGCATGGTGGTTCATGCCTATAATTTCAGTAAATTGAGTGGCTGAGGAGTTCAGGACCAGCCTGGACAACATAATGAGACCCCATCTCCACAAAAAGAGAATAAAATTACCTGGTCGTGGTGGTGCACACCCGTAGTCCCAGCTACTCAGGAGGCCGATGCAGGAGGACCACTTGAGCCCAGGATGTTGAGGTGGTAGTGAGCCTTGGATGCACCACTGTGATGTAACCTGGGCAACAGAGCAAGACCCTGTCTCAAAAGGAAAAAAAAAACTGATCATATTTGGGCCTCTGATTTTTTGTGTGTGTGATATGAAGTTGGAATCCAATTATATTTTCTCCCATTTGTAAAACAAATAGTCCCAGTATCATTTGCTGAATACTGCCAGTTTTTAGACCCTAACGAATTGTTGTTGTTAGTATTGTATGATGGGGTCAATGGCTGCTTGGGTCCATTCACCTTTTTTCAGTGTCTTTGCTCACTACTATTTCCATATGGGAATTCCTTCTCAATATTTTTTCACAAATTTATATTTTTTTCAAATGCTGAAATCCAAGAAAAATCAGGGGGAAAGGATTAGAAAACCCTATGAGAATTAAGGCTTAATGGAAATAGAAATGTTTTTGGTTCAGGCCAGATGCAGTTGTTCACACCTGTAATCCCAGCACTTTGGGAGGCCAAGGCGGGAGGATCACCTGAGGTCAGGAGTTTGAGACCAGCCTGGACGACATGGTGAAACCCCATCTGTACCAAAAATACAAAAAATTAGCTAGGTGTGATGTTACGCATCTGTAGTCTCAGCTATTGGGGAGGCTAAGGCAGGAGAATCACTTGAACCTGGGAGGTGGCAGTTGCAATGAGCCAGGATTGCACCGGTGCACTCAAGCCAGAGCTACAGAGTAAGAATCCATCTCAAAAACAAAAATAAAAAAAAGAAGGCACCTTGCCCACAGCTGTTGCCATGTTGTGACCATGGCCCTGTCTGCTGCTGCAAGACATTCTTGCAAATAAATTATTAACTTGTCTGGCTGCATAATATACCTTATGTAAATTCTATCATATCAGCGGTGTTCCAAGAACAAGTTTGGAAATCAAAATAAGTCTTGCCGGGCATGGTGGCTCACGCCTGTAATCCCAGCATCTGGGAAACTGAGGTGGGCAGGTCATGAGGTCAGGAGTTCAAGACCAGCCTGACCAACATGATGAAACCCTGTCTCTACTAAAAATACAAATATTAGCCTGGTGGTGTAGCACATGCCTGTAATCTCAGCTACGTGGGAGGCTGAGACAGGAGAATCACTTAACTGGGAGGTGGAGGTTGCAGTGAGCCAAGATCATGCCACTGCACTCCAACCTGGGCAACAGAGCGAGACTTCATCTCAAAAAAAACCCCAAAAAACAAAGTAAGTCTTAAAATCGGCAACTTTGACACATGAAGTACTGTTAACCTTGCTAGGAAATCCAAATATTACATTATTTGAATATTGTCCAATAATGATCACTAGCTTTTCCCGTGTTGTGATATGCCCTATAGGCTACATTTCATTATAAACAGTATTAAGCTTCATGTTTCTTATTTGTTAAATACGTTTTTAGGTAATTGGGTTGAGTATGAATCATATTGGAAATATTTTAGGAATAACATATGATTTGGGGAATTCCCAAGAATTCCTGGGAATTCTGATTTCTTATTCCTCAATCGTAAAGTTTAATATCTGTCAGAATTTGGAAGCAGCTCTGCTCACTTGAGGCAATGCTGCTTACTTGAAAAGCACATCGTTGCTTCTATTTTTAGATTTTTTATTCTGTCAAAAGAGAGCTGGAGTAATGTCATAATTTTTTTTAGAGAAGGGGGTCTCAATGTTGGCCAGGCTCAGGTACGTGGCACAATCATGGCTCACTGAATCCTCAACCTCCCTGGCTCAGGGGAACCTCCTGACTTAGCCTCCTGAGTAGCTGGGACTACAGGTGCACACCACCACGCTCGGCTGATTTTCAAATTTTTTGTAGAGATGGAATCTCACTATGTTGTGCAGGCTGGTCTTGGAACTTTTGGCCTCAAGTGATCCTCCTGCCTCAGCCTCCCAAAGTGCTGAGATTACAGTAATGAGCCACCACATCTGGTTCTCCACTACCGCTTCCTAGGTTGGTATAGCATAGTGTTTAAGAATGTGGGCTTCTGGCTGGGCACGGTGGCTCACGCCTGTAATCCCAGCACTTCGGGAGGCTGAGGTGGGTGAATCACAAGGTCAAGACATCGAGACCATCTGGCCAACATTGTGAAACCCTGACTTACTAAAAATGCAAAAATTAGCTGGGCGTGGTAGGGTGTGCCTATAGCCCCAGCTACCTGGGAGGCTAAGGCAGGAGAATTGCTTGAACACAGGAGGTGGAGGTTGCAGTGAGCTGAGATCACACCACTGCACTCCAGCCTGGTGATAGAGGGAGACTCTGTCTCAAAAAAGAAAGAAAAAGAATGTGGGCTTTTGTAGCTACACTTTGACCTGTGACCTTGGGCAAGTTTTAACCCCTCTGTGACTCAGTTTCCCCATCTGTGAAGGGAGTATGATAGTAATTGCATCAAGTTCTAAGGGTTAACACGAGAATTAAATAAATAAGAGGCCGGGCACGGTGGCTCACACCTGTAATCCCAGCACTTCGGGAGGCCAAGGTGGGCGGGTCACCTGAGGTAAGGAGTTCAAGATCAGCTTGGCCAACATGCTGAAACCCCATCTTTACTAAAAATACACAAAGCCGGGTGTGGTAGCAGGCACCTGTAATCCCAGCTACTCGGGGAACTCAGGCAGGAGAATCACTTGAATCTGGAGGTCGCAGTGAGCTGAGATGGTGCCATTGCACTCCAGCCTGGGTGGTGAAGGGTAAGACTCTGTCTCAAAAAAAAAAAAAAAAGAATTAAATAAATAAGAAAAGGTCCCTAGAACAGTGCCTGGTCTATAGCAACCACTCAATAAATGAGACTTCTTATTCTTGTTTTCAAGTCTTTTCTTCCCCTGGGTTGACTTTTCTTTCATGAAGTACATTTTTACTGGTACAGCACTGCCAGTGAACATGGAAAATGGCCTCTGTCTTCATTCTAAAATACATATATTTTTGCCCTCATCCTAGAACAGTAATTTAAGCATAGGATTCTAGGCTGACAATTCCTTTGAAGACACTGTTTAGCCATCTTTGGAGATTTTGGTTGGGTTGAGAAGTCTTCTGTCAGCAGGATTGTTACCTGGAGGTCAGGTGTCTTTTTTTTCTGGTTGTTCCTGTGGTTGTCTTCTCGTCTTTTGTATCTTACAGTTTTCTGTATTTTCAGTAGAGATGGGGTTTCGTTACATTGGCCAGGCTGATCTCGAACTCCTGACCTCAGGTGATCCTCCCACCTCAGCCTCCCAAAGTGCTGGGACAAACCATCAATTCGAGGTGATGGGAGCAGTGGCAGAGGTAAGCCAGGATACTACAGGACTCACCGAGGGTGACAAAAACTTCCTGGAGACAGCGAAGTTAGAGCTCGGCTTTATATGATAACTAGGAGTTGGCTGGGAGACAGTGGTGGCAGTAACATCCTGGTAGAAGAGACAGCTTGTGGAAGGTCACGGGTGTCACGGAGCATGGTGGTGCCTGAGAGAAGCAGTAAGAAGTTTGGTATAGCTAAAGATTAAGGTCACGTGGAGGACCAGCTCCAGCAGGGTTTGGGTGCCCTACAGTCTTCTCCCTGTAATTCTCATGCACTTAAAAAGCAAACAAACAGACCAAGTGTGGTGCCTCATGCCTGTAATCCCAACACTTTGGGAAGCCGAGGCAGGTGGATCATCTGAGGTCAGGAGTTTGAGACCAGCCTGCCCATGGTTGAAACCTCAGCTCTACTAAAAATGCAAAAATTAGCTGGGTGTAGTGGCGTGCCCCTATAATCCCAGCTACTTGGGAGGCTGAGGCACGAGAACTGCTTGAACCCGGGAGTCAAAGGTTGCAGTGAGCCAAGATCATGCCATTGCACTCCAGCCTGGGTGACCGAGTGAGACTCCATCTCAAACAAACAGCTTTATTGAGATTTAACTTACATATGGTAAAATGCACCTGCTTGAAGTATGCAAGTCCATGGGTTTTAGTATACTGACAGAGTTGTGTCACCATAACTAACTTCAGGACATCCCACAGAAAAGCCCTCTGGGCAGGGTTTTTGACAGGGTCACAGCCTGCCCAAATTATATCTCTCGTCAGTTTGGCAGCAGAACAGAGACGGGCTTGAAGGGGACAATGGGGGCCCTCATCGAGCCAAGAACATGAGCAATCGCCCAGCAGTGATTGTGCACAAAGGCTAAAGATTTATAGCAGTGACGGGGGAAATACACTCCATCTCTTAGATTCTTCTTTGCCAGGAAAAGAATTAGGTTATGAAGACACACGTCATTTTTTGCTGGTTGGCTATTTAGTGGTGGTTCTACAAATCAGTATTATGGATGATGTTGCTTATTTACAAAGAAAAAATGACAGATCGGCTGTATCACCGCGAAATCCAGAATGCTGAAGTTTCTGCAAAATGGGAACACTACAGAGCACTGTCCAGCACGTTTCCTGCAGCAAAACCCGAAGCTGGTGTGGACCAAATCAAGGCCACAGGCTCTGTCCTTGAAGGCTCTTCAGGGGGCTGCATTCACACTGAAGTGCTGAGTCACCCATGAATCCTGTGTTGTGAGGCGGGCTGCCTCCGTCCAGCACAAGTCCAGGCTCCTTAGAGAGGAAAGGATCAGAGACAGGTGCACCTCTGCAGTGGCTTTGCCATCAGGGGGTCTCATTTGAGCCTGTTGCAGCGGTCATTGATCAGTTAGGTTTTTTTTTTTTTCTTTGAGATGGAGTTTTGCTCTTGTTGCCCAGGCTGGAGTGCAATGGTGCAAACTTGGCTCACTGCAACCTCCACCTCCTGGGTTCAAGTGATTCTCCTGCCTCAACCTCCAGAGTAGCTGGGATTACAGGCATGCGCCACCAAGCCCAGCTAATTTTGTATTTTTAGTAGAGACCGGGGAGCGGGGGAAAGAAAAGAAAGAAATAGCCAAAAGAACTCTGGCTAATAAATGAATAAATAAAAGGAAAAAAAGAGATGGGGTTTCTCCATGTTGGTCAGGCTGGTCTTGAACTCCCGACCTCAGGTGATCCTCCCGCCTTAGCCTCCCAAAGTATTGGGATTACAGGTGTGATCCACTGCACACGGCTAATTAGTTAGGTTTTTTAAACCGCAATGAAAAATAAAAACAAAACTAAATTAAACTGGCTTTACCAATGCAAGGGACTCTAGTCTGACATCATATTCAACTATGGTCATGTGAAAAGCCTCTCTTTACAAAAACAGAGAAATTCACAATAAAAATCTCACTAAATAAAGTGCCAGTGCATGGCTGAGTTAGCAAGAAAGAACAGAATATCCCCAGGGGCCAGAAACGAAGAGGGAGAAGCCAGAGTGGTGAGCACAGGGTTCTGTCCCACAGCTACCTCCAGCAGGCACGTAAGAGGAGGCAAGGGTTATCAGAGCCAGCAACCCAGGGGCTTTGGTTCTGGTGGCTGCGTTGAGGCTGAAGGTAAGATCTTCAGCTGACAGAAGTAGAGAGTTGAAACTATGCCTCCTTGCAAAAGCCAGACTCCTCTGAGGGCAGATCTCTCAGTGAAAGATGGGCTAGAAAAAACCTACCCTCTGCCACAGGGATATAACAAAAAGCTTGTTTATCATTGCAGGGGCATAGAGCAGTGGGGACCTGGGACACATTCTACAAAAGGATCCCTTGAAAAATCCAAGCCTCATGTCTGTACTTTGAGGGGGTTTGAGGTCCAAATTCGTACTCCATGCATGGTCTGGGATTCCTATGCCAAGAGAAGAGAATTGGTGCCAGGCTGGTGATAACCCTGGGCCACCTGGTGAAGCAGCTGCAGAATGGCTCTGGAGGGGCATTTTTACAACCCCAGCAGCAGGAAATTCCCACGCAAAAAACAAGCTCCCCTGAAAATGAGCTCACAATCAAATCTCAGTACACACAAGGAAAGGGGTGAACAGGAGCACACGGACAGGTGCTACACACAGAAGGAACAGAGGCCGAGGCTCTGAGATAACAGAACAGCAGGCCAAAAGAGAGTATCGAATACAAATGTTCATGACGATTAAAGGCCAAAGGAAAACATTCAAACTCTCAAGAAGATAGTGATACATCATGACACCAAGAACAGATAAATTCTTTTTTTCTTTTTTTGAGACGGGGTCTTGCTCTGTCACCCAGGCTGGAGTGCAGTGGTTCAGTCTCAACTCACTGCAACCTCTGCCTCCCGGGCTCAGTGATCCTCTCACCTCAGCCTCCTGGGACTACAGGCGCATGACATCATGCCCTGCTAATTTTATTATTTTTTTTTTGAGATAGCGTCTCAACCCGTCACCCAGGCTGGAGCGCACCTCCCGCCTCAGACTCCTGAGTAGTTGAGACTACAGGCGCAAGCCACCAACCACAGGTTACATTTTGTATTTTTTTTTTTTTTTTTTTTCTTCTGAGACAGAGTTTCATTCTTGTTGCCCAGGCTGGAGTGCAATGGTGGGATCTCGGCTCACCGCAACCTCCACTTCCCGAGTTCAAGCGATTCTCCTGCCTCAGCCTCCCGAGTAGTTGGGATTACAGGCACCTGCCACCACACCCAGCTAATTTTTTGTATTTTTGGTGGAGGCAGGGTTTTATCACGTTGGCCAGGCTGATCTTGAAGTCCTGACCTCAGGTGATCCGCCCACCTTGGCCTCCTAAAGTGCTGGGATTACAGGCATGAGCCACCACTTCTGGCCTTTTTGTATTTTTCTAGAGACAGAGTTTTGCCATTTGCCCTGGCTGCTCTTGAAATTGTGAGCTCAAGCAATCCACCCAGCTCCGTCTCCCAAAATGCTAGGATTTCAGGAGTGAACCACCACACCTGGCTAGATGACAGATTTGAACAATACTTATGGATGAAATGACATGGAGTCTGAGATTTACCTCAAAATAATTCAGAGTGGGGAGCTGTGGGAAGGAGCACGGACTAAACAAGTCGGGATATAGGTCGATACTTGTTGAAAGTGAATAATAACTACACAGGGCCGGGCACCGTGGCTCGCGCCTGTAATCCCAGCGCTTTGGAAGGCCAAGGTGGGAGGATTGCTTGAGCCCAGCAGTTTGAGACCAGCCTGGGTAACATAGTAAGATGCCGTCTCTATAAAAAATAAATGAATAAGCCAAAAAAATGTTCATAAATACATAGAGCTTTATTCTACTGTCTCTAATTTTATATACATTTGGATTTGCTATAATAAAAATTATGAAACAAACAAAACATAAAGCTCCAAGTAGATCTTCTAGAAATAAACAATATCAATAATGAAATTTAACACTTAGGACAGGCTTACTGGCAGATTGGACACAGATGAAGAGAGATTTGATAAACTCGAAGTTATGAAAAAAAAATCCAGAATGTAGAGAGAGAAATAGACAAAAAAATTTTAAAACTTCAGGAGAGACTGAGAGATTAAGACACGCAGAGAATAAATTGAAATATATGCTGCTCATTTAATGGGAATTCCAAAAGAAAACAAAAGGGGTCGGGTATGGCGGCTCACGCCTGTAATCCCAGCACTTTGGGAGGCCGAAGTGGGAGGATTACCTGAGGTCAGGAGTTCGAGATCAGCCTGGCCAACATGATGAAACTCGGTGTCTACTGAAAATACAAAAATTAGCCAGGCGTGGTGGCGCACACCTGCAGTCCGCATCTCTATGACCTGTCTTGGCGTCTGGTACCTCCAAGATGGTATTTGCTCAACTGGCCCCAGCTGATCTCGTGGGTCTCTCTATTGAACATTGAGCCCGCTACCAAAAGCAGGTGCCGCAGCCGAGGAGCATGTAGGTAGCGCCAGCTCACCTGGAGCTACGGAAACACGAGACCCTAATTCCTTCCTCGCCCTCCTCTTTTGCTTTTTCTTAACCTCTGATTTCACAGTTACCAATTAGCAATTTGGAAGAACCACCTTCCTTGTCTTTCTGAAATGCCTCTCTGCTAAGGTACCTTTCTCTTGGGGTAAAAAGCTAGGGGACTGCATGTACTAAGTGAATGGGGGAGGGGAGCCAATTAACATTCAGCTAAGAGAAAAAATGATTTCTCCTATCAGCAGTAAAAACTGACAGCTCTATCAGAAAATGAGCCGGGGGAGCCACAAAGCCTGGCAAGGCAGGGCGGGGAGGGAAGGCGTCTGCAGGCCTAATCAGGAGTGATAAAGATGGCTAAGGGCCGAGTCCGCTGCTGGGAGCCAGGGGATCACTCAGGCATCCAAAGGAGCTACCTCAGGAGGTGGAACCGTTGCCATCCACCTCGTCCCTCCTGTCTGAGCCGGCCCCAGGCACAAGCACTGGTACTGCTCAGGTTTTATACCTGAAACTTAGAGCTCTGACTCTCCTAACGGCCTCTCCCTGTGCACTCATTTCCTCTGACCTTATCATAAAAGGCGGCCACGTGACATCTATTTATGGCAGTGGGATGGTCTGGGGAGAGGAGGCTCCCTGCAGCCAATTCCAGGGCTGATGAAATTGCCCTGGCCCTCTGGATCTCTCCCTGCCATGAATGAACAAACAGGTTTGGGGGCAGGGTGGTGAAATCAAATTCCAGCGTTATCTGACATACAAGTTCCTTCTTGAGTGCCACATAGGTAATTTGTTATAAATCGAAGCTTAAAAACCGGATCGGATTTCACAGAGCTCAATTCCATCCGTTTAAGATGAGAAGACGTGCAGAGAAGGACGGAGAGAAAACACCCTCATTCAGCCCGGCAGAGAAGAGAGTTAGCTTTTAAAAAAGTAACCATTGATCTTCTGCTTGAAATATAAGCGCATTTTGCTAAAAAAAAGAGGATGCCAGTGAGATTGAGACAGCAAGTGACGGAAGAGAGCGCTAAGACTAGAGCAGGTTATTTGTTTTAATTGGAAACAGAAAGAGGCAGTTTTCGGTCATGTTTTGTGTACAGTTCCAGGCCATGTGCCCTCTCTCATATACAATAATGAAACATAAAGACATGCGAACAAGTTCAGTGCCTGAGAGCATCGACGCCTCCCTCGAGGCATCTGTGTGCCCAGCACGAGCATGTAGGAAAAAGGAACAGTCTCAGGGAGCTCGTGCAGGGATTTGATTTCTCCACACACTTGTCTTCAGCAGACACTAATGGGGGAACGCGGGGAGGTCCAGACCTGGCATCTTCAGAGACCATAGCTGCGGGGCTATGGTTTTCTGAATCACTCCCAAATGCTTTTGAACTGGGATTTTTAAAAAATTAGGTTTCTTGTCTAAAATGTTCTACTTTTTTCTGTGTTCTTAGTACAGGAAGTATAACGAGGAAGTTAAGCATTTAATACTCAAGCATTGGGACTGGCACAGTGGCTCCCGCCAGCAATCCCAGCACTTTGGGAGGCTGAGGCGGGTGTATCACCTGAGGTTGGGAGTTCGAGACCAGCCTGGCCAACAGGGCAGAACCCCATCTCTACTAAAAATACAAAAATTAGCTGAGTGTGGTGGCATGCACCTGTAATCCCAGCTACTCAGGAGGCTGAGAGAGGGGAATTGCTTGAACCAGGGAGGTAGAGGTTGCAGTGAACCTGGGCGACAGAGCGAGACTCCATCTAAAAAACAAAACAAAACAAAAGACTGTGCTAAGTGCCAAGGGCAGGCAGAAGGCAGGGAGGGAGATGGAGAGTTTTGGGAGGGGACTCTTTTAGATGGGGTGGCTGGGAAAGGCCTCTTTAGGAAAGTAACATTTTAATAAAGCCATAAGAGGTGCAAAGCTGTGAGCGTGGGTGACACAGACCCCACCTCCAGGCCTGAAAGTACCAGGACTGGGAGGAAAAGCAGCCCCCACTCAAGAAGGCAGCAGCGGTGCACAGAGAAAAACAACGCTGCAAAATTCGTGTCTATCCCTTGGAGCAGAGCAGATCAGATGCAGCTTCAGCTGCTGGGAGCTGGTCCCTGGCTTGTGCCACCCTCCTGCCCGCCCTGGCCTGGAGTCCTGCAGCATGACCCAGAAACAGTGCCAGCAGCCAGGCCTGAGGAAGTGGTGCCTGGCCGTGCAGACACAGCTGGTTGGAGGGAACCCTGGACAGGGCCACATGATGACTTTTCTGGGACCCTTCCTCCACTAAAAAAAAAAAAAAAAAAAAAAAAGTAAAAACTGTATATTATGGCTGCATGGCTACAAAGATGAATCTAACCAGACTGGGCTGGTAATAAATCATTTACAATTTTTTTTTCTGGTTTTAATAAAATGAAGACATTTTTATGGGTCCATAGTGCCCTCAGACACGGTACTTGCTGAGCAGAATGAGGATGTGGGCTCTGGAGGTGGTGTCACGAAGCTCTTGCTTCTTCCTTTGCAGGATCAGCAAGAGGTCACTCTGCCTTTCCCCATGGCAAAGAAACTTCCCATGGGCACCTGCACATACCCCAGGCCTCCTCCCTGCCAAAGCAGGAATTCCTGTGCCACCTCCTGGGGAGGGCAACCCAGCAAATGAGCCCCCTTGCATGGGTGGGAGTTGGTGACTGTTCTGTTTTCTGCAATAGTTCATGTTTTTGTTTTTTTTTTTAAAGACATGGTATCCCCATGTTGGTCAGGCTGGTCTTGAACTCCCGACCTCAGGTGATCCACTGCGCCCGGCCGTTTTTTTTTTTTAAGCAGAATCTCACACTGGCGCCTAGGCTGTAGTGCAGTGGCTCAATCTCAGCTCACTGCAATCTCTGCCTCCTGGGTTCAAACAATTCTGCCTCAGCCTCCCTAGTAGCTGGGACTACAGGTGTGCACCACCACACCCAACTAATTTTTTTGTATTTTTAGTAGAGAAGGGGTTTCACCAAGTTGGCCAGGATGGTCTTGATCTCCTGACTTCATGATCCACCCACCTCAGTCTCCCAAAGTGCTGGGATTACAGGCCTGAGCCCCCGAGCCCGGCCCTTTTCTTTTTTTTGGGATGGAGTCTCCCTCTGTCGTGAGGCTGGAGTGCAATGGCGTGATCTCAGCTCACTGCAATCTCTGCCTCCTGGGTCCAAGAGATTCTCCTCAGCCTCCCGAGTAGCAGGGACTACAGGCACGCACCACCACACCCAGCTAATTTTTTTGTGTGTTTTTAGTAGAAAAGGGGTTTCACCATGTTGTCCAGGATGTTCTCAATGTCTTGACTTCGTGATCCACCTGCCTTGGCCTCCCAAAGTGCTGGGATTACAGGTGTGAGCCACTGCGCCCGGCCACAATGGTTCATTTTTTGCATCAACTTGACGGAGCCATGAGGTGCCCAGTATTTGGCTCCACATTATTCTGGGTCTGTGGTGAGGGTGTTTCCAGCAAGATAAGCATTCGAATTGGTAGACTGAGTAAAACAGAGGGCCCACCCCAGTGCGGATGTGCCTAATCCAATCCTACAAAAGCCTGAATAGAGCAAAAGACAGACTAAGCAAAGTGTGGACGCAGCTGGTAGTCCCAACTATGCCGGAGGCTGAGGCAGGAGGATCGCTTGAACCCAGGAGTTCGAGACCAGCCTGGGCAACATGGTGAGACCTCATCTCTACAAAAAGCTTTTGAAAAATTAGCCAGGCATGGCACACTTGTAGTCCCAGCTACCCAGGAGGCTGAGGCAAGAGGATCATTTGAGCCCAGGAAATTGAGGCTACAGTGAGCCACATTCATACCACTGCACTCTAGCTCTAGCCTGGGCAGCAGGGAAAGAGCCTGTTTTTTTACCAAAAACAAAAAAAAGCCAAGCGCGGTGGCTCACTCCTGTAATCCCAGCAGTTTGGGAGGGTGGGTGGATTACCTGAGGTCGAGAGTTTGAGACCAGCCTAGCCATCATGGTGAAACCCTGTCTCTGCTAAAAATACAATTAGCAGGGCGTAGCGGCAGGCACCTGTAACCCCAGCTGCACGGGAAGCTGAGGCCGGAGAACTGCTTGAACCTGGGAGGGGGAGGTTGCAGTGAGCTGAGACTGCACCACTGCACTCTAACCTGGTGACAGAGTGAGACTCCATCTCAAAAAAAAAAAAAAAAAAAAGAAAAGAAAGAAAAAGTAAGAATTCGCTCTGTCGGCCTGACTGTGAGCTGAGCGGGTACACTGGTCTTCTCCTGCCTTTGAACTTGGACTGCAATGGCACTGTCAGTGCTCCTGGTTTTTTTCTGCTTGCTGACTGCAGATCCTGACTGCCAAACCTTCTCAGCCTGAGCTGGGCCAGGGCTCAGGGTAATTAGATGGGGCAGGTGGGGCTTCCCAGCAGCAATTTTTGGGCAAGTCAAGCTAAGACACCTCCCTGAGAATTGCTCTGCAGGGAACTGCCAACTCCAGGCAGTAAGAGGTGAAGCTGCCACACCTTTGCCTAATTCAGGAACACAGAGTCTTTGCCTTTAGAAATTCTCTCTGCTGTTGAGGGTGGAATGGAAATAAATATAATGTTTCATACAAAGCAAAAAAAATATGATATAAGGATTTTGGGCTGGGCCGGGTGGCTTACCCCTGTAATCTCAGCACCTTAGGAGGTCAAGGTAGGAGGATCCACTGAGCCTGGGATTTTGAGACTAGTCTGAGCAACATAGTGAGATCCTATTTCTTTTAAAAGAGAGAGAGAGAGAGAGAGAGAGAGAGGACTTATTTAAAGTCTTATTTTGGCATTTACTGTTGATTTCCAATTATTCAGGATTCAATCATCCAGTTTGAGCACCACTGAAGCCTTTTCTAGGCAGTTTTCATCCATCTTTTCATTGACACTAATCTGGGTACTTCCTAATATTAATGAAAATAAAAGGAAACGAGTGAAACAACAATTTTACCTTCCTCTATTAGCTTCTGAGGGAGAAGGCGGACAAGAGAAGGCTGGGTGACCAGCTGGCATTCGCTTCCCTGTCAGGTTATCTCGACATCCCCACATTGTGGAAAGGACCCTGAGAGCTGACCGTGCCTGCGTCTTGGCTCACTGCAACCTCCGCCTCCCAGGTTCAAGCAATTCTCCCTGCCCCAGCCTCCTGAGTAGCTAGGATTACAGGTGCGTGCCACTACACCTAGCTGTTTTGTATTTTTAGTTGAGATGGGGTTTTGCCATGTTGGCCAGGCTGGTCTCGAACTCCTGACCTCAGGTGTTCCATCAGCCTTGGCCTCCCAAAGTGCTGGGATGATAGCAGTGAGCACCATGCCCCGCCTTTTTTTTTTTTTTTTTTTTTTTAAGAGACAGGCTCTTGCCTTGTTGTCCAACCAAACCTCTTAGCAAGTCAGACTTACAGACCATTAGAAACCCAATCAGGAACTCAAAAGCCTCACTCCCAGGTATACACCCAAGAGAAGTGAAACGTACATTCGCACAAACACCTATACGTGAATGTTATGGCAGCTTACTGATAATCATCAGAACCTGGAAATCGCCCGCATCCTTTACCTGGTGAATAGGTAAATACACTGCACTCTATCCAGACAGTGGAACACTACTCAGCAATGAAAAGGAACCATATGACAATGTGAGTGAGCCTCAAATCATGACACTCAGAGAAAGAGCCTAGACTCACACAACCCCACTTCCAGGATTCACTGGAAAAGCAACGGGAGAACAGAGCAGTGGTTGCTGGGGTAGCAGGGGGTTCTGGGAGTGACGGGATGTTCCCTGTCTTGACTGTGGTCATGGGGACAGGACTCTATGCATTTGAACTACATACCAAAAAAAGTGAATTTTACTGTGTGTACCTTGAAACCTATTTAACCATTAAAAAAGAAAAATCGTGGCGGCCTATGCCTGTATTACCAGCACTTTGCGAGGCCAAGGTGGGCATATCACAAGGTCAGGAGTTCAAGACCAGCCTGGCCAACATGGTGAAACCCCATCTCTACTAAAAATATAATTTAGCAGGGCGTGGTGGTGGGCGCCTGTAATCCTAGCTACTCTGGAAGCAGAGGCAGGAGAATTGCTTGAACCCAGGAGGCAGAGGTTGCACTGAGCCAAGATCATGCCACTGCACTCTAGCCTGGGCAACAGTGAGAAGCCTCAAAAAAAAAGGAAAAGAAAAGGGCACAGGGCTGAGCATGGATTTCAGATGCCCTATTTCAGGAAAAACAAACAAGTCCAGATTCTCCTGGCTGTGGCTCTGCGCTTTAGATGTTTGCAGAGTCAGAAGAGTGACGAAGGTTACAGGTGAGCCTGCGGGAGTAGACACCTTTGCGGAAGAGGGACTGGAGGAAATTAGCTTTTTCTGTATAGGTTTTTGGATGATGTCACTTTGTGATCTCTATTTGCTATGGCACCAGCAACCCTCACTGGGTCCTTGGCTCTGCCCTGTTCTGTTCCGCCTCCTCCTTTGCCAGTGGGGTTTCGGGGTTTCTACCTGAGCTCTGCGCCAGGGTCCAACCCAGCAACCTGCAGCCCTGAGGTCTGCAGGTCCCCATGTGGGCACTCTTGACCTCCTAGGCTTCACCGACCTGCAGACCTCCTCGCCAGTCACTCATGAACTTGGCTGAGGCACAGCTTTTCAGATCCCTGGGAACCCCTCCTCTCTTCTCTCCTACGGGGTTCTTGTGAAGCTCGAGGGAGAAAATGGTTGACAAACGGTTTTGCAAAACTAGGATTGGTTACCAAATGGGGAAGCTTATTACTGAAGACACAGATGCAGAACATTCAAGCAGGGAGCCATCAATCTCCTCTGCTGTCAGGAAGGCTGGGGGAAGGGCGGTGGGACCCAAGACAGCAGGAGCCGGATGCCACCGAGTTCTCAAAGACCTCATCTACCCCAGCCCTTCCTGTCCGGCCTCCAGGGGACACTGGATCTCCACCCAGTGCGTGACCCTCTGCCCAAGCATTTAGTGGACCACCCCCCAACACACACACACACACACACACACGCACATGCACACACATCCCTCAGTGAGATTCTGGCAGAGGGGAGAGAGCCAGGGGCCGTAGGGACCCAGGGGTGAGAAAGGGGCTGGCAGAGAGCAGGGTGTCCACCCAGAGTCAGGTTCAGGGTCACATTGATGTGTGGCCAGGGTGCAACACAGAATTCTGCAAGATTCAGAACATCCCTCAACCACCACATTTTCAGAAAATGGATGAAAAGCTGATCAAACAGACATTTGATGCCAGGATGAAGAGGAGCTGGATCCTGCATCATTGAGCTGGAGGCAAAGTGCGGGCTGGAGTTCCCCACAGCTGGAGCAGGAGTCCTCTGTCATCCATCTAGTCTGAAGCAGGAAATGCAAGAAGGCCCTTGGTGCCTCCTCCTTGGAGCCTGAGCCCGGCTGCTGAGAGCCCAGGGTGTACGGGGGCAGGTTCAGGCCCGGGCAGCGGGACTCTGGGAACTGGGCTTGCTGGTCCAAGCAACTTGGAGCACAGGCCAGTTTGCAGTTCAGCTCAGAATCCTGATTCAGAAAAACCACCACTTCTCCATGCCTGGGGAGATACGTGAACCCCCCAAACTGGGCTCCTGGGGCCACCCCAGCAAAACCCTAAATGACAGAATTGCCCAGAGAGAAGTTGGCAGGCCTGTTAGCGAGACTAACCCCATACTCACCCATGCCCTCTTCTAGTTCACAGGGCACTTTTGTAGCAGGGGAATATGAACTATTCTTGCTAATGAGCATGGTGACGCTCACAGGACCCGCACCGATTGTCCAACGCCCCACAGTTAGGAAGTGGCAGAGTGGGGCCTTTAACACCCAGATCTCCTGCCTCTGAGTCCTGAACAGTTGCTTCAGAGGCTGAGCCTTCTGAGTGAGATGATAAAACAGGAGTTTGGCTGCTGAGCCCTCTTTGGGCACTTTCTCTAGAAGAGCCAAAAAGTGGTCCCCAGATGCTACTTGCTTGTATGTGCCTGCTAAGTCAGTGCCGTTCAGTAAAAAGAAAGTGTTTTGTTTTTTGCTGCTGAATTGTAATATGTAATTGCAATGCATGTACATGGTCATATGTTTCTGTAAAGCTTGCAGAGGTGAGACATCAGTTAGTCACACCAAGCCAGCTTGGTGGCACATCACATGCCTGTAGTCCCACTGCTCAGGAGGCTGAGGTGGGAGGATGGCTTGAGCCCTGGAGTTCAAGGGTGTGATGAGCAAGGGTTGTACCACTGCACTCCAGCCTGGGTAACAGTGAGACCTATCTTTAAAAAAGAAAAAAGAGCCGGGTGAAGTGGCTCACAAAGTAATCCCAGTACTTTGGGAGGCCAAGGCAGGAGGATCACGAGGTCAGGAGTTCGAGACCAGCCTGACCAATATGATGAAATCTCATCTCTACTAAAAATAAAAAATTAGCCAGGCGTTGTGGTGTGCGCCTTTAAAACCAGCTACTCAGGAGGCTGAGGCAGGAGAATCACTTGAACCCGGGAGGTAGAGGGTGCGGTGAGCTGAGACCGTGCCATTGCACTCCAGCCTGCATGACAAGAGCAAGATTCTGTCTCAAAAAAAAAAAAGAAAAGAATCCAACCTGGGCAACATAGTGATATACTCTGTCTCTATACATGTCTGCATATGAATAAAGTTTTAAAAAACGATAAAAATAACTTGTTAGTTTAAGTCTCTTTCCACTCTGATTCCCCTCCTTCCCCCTCCCGTCCAGTTGGATGGTATTGGACTGGCTGTGGGTATTTTGGGAGAAGTTGGAAATAGTTCAGAATTCAGGGATATTTCATGTGGTTCACAGTTCTATCCATGCATAGCTCAGTCATTGCTGGGGTCCGGAGGGACAGATGGCTTCCAGGAACACACCCACCAATGAATGAATGAATGAAGAATGAATACAATGGTCATGATGGAAAAAGATTTAAATTTCTTGCTGATTTGGCATCAAATACTGACATCAACAAAGACAACATAAGACTCAGAACAGGTCCGTGTAATGAGAGCATCAAAGCCTCGCTTGGTAACCAGTGTGATCCATCCAAGGAGCATTTAAGGTCAGGTCCCACAAGAGCAAACTTGACATAGCCATGCCCTGAACTCTTACTGCTACCATATAAAAGAAATGTGATCAAAGTTTGTATTTTCTCTATAGAAAATGGCATTACAAAATCCTTGATGTACAAGGAAGCGATCAGGTATAGAAAACATAGGGAGGCCAGGTACAGTGGCTCATGCCTGTAATACCAGAACTTTTGGAGGCCGAGGTGGACAGATCACCTGAGGTAAGGAGTTTGAGACCAGCCTGGCCAATGTGGTGAAACCCTGTCTCTAGTAAAAATACAAAAATTAGCCAAGCATGGTGCGGGCATCTGTGATCCCAGCGACTCGAGAGGCTGAGGCAGGAGAATCGCTTGAACCCAGGAGGCAGAGGTTGCAGTGAACCGAGATCGCACCACTGCACTCCAGCCTGCACCACAATAACAAAACTTCATCTTAAAAAAAAAAAAAAAAAAGAAAGGAAAGAAAAAGAAAAACAGGCCTGGCACGGTGGCTCATGCCTGTATCCAGCACTTTGGGAGGCTGAGGCAGGTGGATCACCAAATCAGGAGTTTGGGACCATCCTGGCCAACATAGTAAGACCCCATCTCTACTAAAAATATAAAAATTGGCTGGGTATGGTGGTGCACATCTGTGGTCCCAGCTACTCAGGAGGCTGAGGCAGGAGAATTGCTTGAACCAGGGAGGCAGAGGCTGCAGTGAGCCGAGACTGTACCACTGTACTCCAGCCTGGGCCACAAAAATGACACTTAGTCTTAAAAAAAAAAAAAAAGAAAAAGAAAAAAACATAGGGAATGCATTGGTGGTCAATGGAGGTGGTCAAGCGGGTGATACAAAACGCCCTGTTATGTTTCTGAGTGGCTTGATATTTACCAACCTTCTAAAATTTGTAGTGTCATTTGTATTCTTCTTCTAATGGGCAGTAAAACTTCACTGTCACACCTAATTTTGGTTTTGTAATTGTGTTTGTGTCTTGCTTTTAAGGCAGAGTCTCGCTCTGTCCCCCCAGCTGGAATGCAGTGGTACAATCACGGCTCATTGCAACTTCCACCTCCCAGGTTCAAACAATTCTCCACCTCAGCCTCCCGAGTAGCCGGGATTACAGATCTGTGACACCGTGCCTGGCTAATTTCTTCTATTTTAGTAGACACAGGTTTCACCATTTTGGCCAGGCTGGTCTTGAACTCCTGACTTTGTGATCCACCTGCCTCAGGCTCCCAAAGTGTTGGGATTACAGGCATAAGCCATCATGCCTGGCCGGCAATGTCTTTTTCTAAATCAAAATGACAAGTGTATAGTCTCAGCCAATGAGCAAGGTGCTGGGATGAAGATGGGGCCTAACCCTAGCCTTGTCGAGGGGTCTTCCAAAATAGCTCCCTTCCTCAAGGCCACCCAAATGGGTCCCTGTGGGGAAGAAAGGGCCCTGCCATGAGGGAAGCACAGGCGGTTCCACATCACCAGACATCCACAAGACACCCATGCAGGGACAGGCACCCACATCCCAGGAGGAAGAAAGGGCCTCCTGGGGCCCAGAAGGGGCACAGCAGAGGGCATCCTGCAGCTGGCTGGCCCTGACCCCAGCTGGAAGGAAATGGGGAACCTGAAAGGAGCCAGGGGTTTCCCAGGAGCCGCGTGTCCATGGGGAGGGGACCACAGTTCCACCGACCTCCATCCTGGTCAGACCCCATCTGGGCACAGGGAGTGCAGGCTGGGCAAACCCCCCATGGAGAAGGGTCTGGAAGCCACGCTGGGTGTCACACAGGACCAGGGATGTCTTGGCCTGCAGAAGGGGAGGCTCTGCGGCCACAAACCCCCATCCACACCTGCTGGAAATGCTGGGGAGAAGGACCTGGTGACAACTTCCCAGGGAAAGGCCTGTTCACCAGGCCAGGCTGTGGCAGTGGAGACCACAGCGGAGGGGGTGAGCAGGGGGCCGATCCTCGGGGCCTCCAGCAAACCAGGGACCCTGTGGGGAGGGGCTGGCAACCCGGGAAACCTCTCCTTCCCACAGCCCGCCTGCTGGGCTTCCAGGCCTCACCTGGGAACCCGAAGTGAAGGGAGAGGAGAGTCCGGCAGGGTCTTCTCTTTCCAGGTGCTCTCAGCCGTGCCTGCGCTGCCATGAGGCTTCCTTAACACCCACAGAGTTGAAAGAAAAGGAGAACCCGGATCCGAACCCCCTGCCCTCTTTCCTCCACCCACCAGCCAGCTCCTTCCTACTTAGGGCCAAACGCAGCCTCAGATTCTGACCTTCACTTTCTACGAGTCGGTGTGACCCAGGTCCTACTTATCTTCAATTAAATTTAGTGGAATCACCGAGGTGCCCTTTTCACCTGTGCATTAAGAGAAAGGGCTCCACCTTCATGCGGGCTTGGGCCTAAGCACCTGCAAAGAGGAAGGGGGGCCTTCAGCAGGTCGGGGGAGGGGAATCGAGGGGCTACACTGAGCTCCCATCTAGCTGGAAGCGCAGACACTTCCAGAGTCTCCCCAGGCGGTGTGGCTGATCCTAGATTTCAACCCCAGCCCCACCTCCATTGGCCGTGTCACCTCAAAACAGCAACTTCCAGCCTGGCACAGTGGCTCACGCCTGTAATCCCCGCACTTCGGGAGGCTGAGGCAGGCAGATTACAAGGTCAGGAGCTCGAGACCACCCTGGCCAACATGGTGAAACCCCGTCTCTACTAAAAATACAAAAATTAGCCAGGCGTGGTGGCGGGCACCTATAATCCCAGCTACTTGGGAGGCTGAGGCAGGAGAATCGCTTGAACCCAGGAGGCGGAGGCTGCAGTGAGCCCAGATCGTGCCATTGCACTCCAGCCTGGGTGACAGAGCGGGACTCTGTCTCAAAAAACAAAAACAACAACGAAAAAAATCAGCAACTTCCCATCTCTGAGTTTCCTCATCTGCAAAATGCAGACATAATAGCACCTGCCTCGCAGGGTGGCTTAGAGAGTGGACTCAGCCAAGTACCCGGCAAGGCTGATCCCTTCCCCACCTTAGATCACCTCCTCCTCATCTTGCCCTCACCCTCATTCAGTGGCTATGCCCAGCAGTTGGTGGTCCAGTGCCCAGAAGGGGGTTGGAGGAGGCAGAAAGGCTTTGGGGACCTGGGACCAGGCCCTGACCAAGGGCCTCCCGCCCACTCCCAGGCCAGCTGCTCCTGGCAAGTGCCCGAGTCTCTGTCCCACAGGCAGCTCCGAGATGGCCTGGTCCCATGCTCCCTATGTGACACACAGTCAGCAGACACTGGGAGGAAAGAAAGGCAAAGGGAAGCCCAGGGGAAGCAGGGACTTGGGCACAGGCTCCCTGCCAGGAAGAAAAAGCCCCAGAACACTTTCCTTTTGCCCCAGGGGAGTTTCCTGAGGAGGGGGGCTTCTGACAAGTGAAGCCTTCAGTCACCTGTGCCTGCTTGAAAGATCTTGGTCCTAGCCAGGGGTGGTGGCTCACACCTGTAATCCCAGCACTTTGGGAGGCAGAGGCAGGTGAATCACCTGAGGTCTGGAGTTCGAGACCGGCCTGGCCAACAGGGTGAAACCCCATCTCTACTAAAAATACAAAAAATTAACCAGGCGTGGTGGCGGGCACCTATAATCCCAGCTACTTGGGAGGCTGAGGCAGGAGAATCGCTTGAACTCAGGGCAGGTGGAGGTTGCAGCGAGCCAAGATCGCGCCATTGCACTCCAGCCTGGGTGATGAATGAAACTCCATCTCAAAAAAATAAAAAATATAAATCATGGTCCTGAGATCCAAAAGTGGTTTCTCCCTTCCTCTGATTCCATTCTGAAAATGGAGGGCAGCCTGGGATTATTGTTTATCAGCACACCCCTGGGAGATTTCTGGTCCTAAAACAGCATCTCACCTGTAATCCCAGCTACTCAGGAGGCTGAGGCAGGAGAGTCGCTGGAACCGGGGAGGTGGAGGTTTCAGTGAGCCAAGATCACACCATTGCACTCCAGCCTGGGCAACAAGAGCAAAACTCCATCTCAAACAGCAACAACAACAACAAAACACCCAGCATTTCTTCAGTGTTGCAGGGCGTTTTGTACAGAACAGACCTTCGAGTCCAGTGACTGCAGGAAGTCTCTAAGTTCCCGAGGAGCCGTCTCCTGGAGAAAGCCGTTCCCACTCAGAAACCGGATTGTAAATGCTGTCGAGCTTCGGGGAACCGCCCAAAAGCTGCTGAAGTCTGAATGCCGCTGAGAATCTGTACATGTGAAATGAAAACAGTAGAAATCGATACTAGTTGCAATACTAGTAATTTCTAAGCCGAAAAAATAAATGGTTTTATTCATCTGACTTCAGCTGCTGGAGAGAGAAAGGTAGTTTTCATCGGAGGAGGCCCAGGGGAGGGGAAGGCCTTCTCATTCTGCTTCCTTGGGCCCCTCTCCAGCCTCGGCCTCTCAGCCTGGATGGGACACCCCAGCCCCTTGTCTACTCCTGGAAGTTTCTTATAAAGCCTTCCTGGGACAGATTCACACCTGTAATCCAAGAACTTTGGGAGGCCAAGACGGGTGGATCACTTGAGGTCAGGAGTTTGAGACCAGCCTGGCCAACATGGTGAGGCTAAGGAAGGAGAATCACTTGATTTCGGGAGGCAGAGGTTGCAGTGAGCCAAGATTGTGCCAGTGCACTCCAGTCTGGGCGACAGAACAACACTCCATCTCAGAAAATAAATAAACAAATAAATAGAGCCTTCCTGAACGCCTGGACCTTCTTGGTGGGCTCAGCCCGTCATGTTGGGATGTGACTTAGAGTGGATATCAGCCTGCACCCCACATGGTGGGCACCCAGCACAGGGCCGGCCCACAGCAGTGCCCTGGAGAGTTTGTTGAATGAGGGAATGAGTGACCTGAAATTCCTTGTGGATCATCGAAGGGGCCTTCTGGACCCCTGCAAGAATTAGAGGGGCTGGCCTGGGATCTTTGCTATCCCTGAACCTAGGGCAGTCAGACTCTGACCCAGGTCTGCACAGCTGTGCCATTATCCTTCCCAGCCCTGGGGCAGCGGAAGAGCCGGCCTAGCCACAGGGCAACGGGAAGAGAAAGTAAGAGTCAGTGAGAATAGACGGCGAGCTGAGAGGAGAGGGCAGAACGGAGAGGGCAGAGCTTTCCTGAGGCCTGAGGCTGGGTCGGGGGGGAGCCCCCTGAGAATCCCCTGCAGCTGCCCTGACCCCTGCACCCCACCTCTGGAACCTCAGTGGGGGCAGCTCCAAGACCAGCCTCCAATTGCTCTGGCTAGCGGAGAGGGTGGGGGGCATGGGGTGCCTGGAGGGCCTCGATTTCTGGCTCCTCGCTTCCCCGCTGCTGCTCCTCCCAGACCTGTCACCTTCATAGACTTCCTTATCCATTACCACACACTCCTCCTCTCCCCTTGGGGACCCTCCTTGTTCTCTGTGACTTTCCCAAACCCTGCTCCCCTCTAAAGGGACCTACACAATTGAGAGGATGAATAAAAATTAAAGGCAAAACAACTACTTTTCTTTTTTTTTGAGACGCAGAGTCTCACTCTGTCGCCAGGCTGGAGTGCAGTGGCAAATCTCTGCTCACTGCAACCTCTGCCTCCCGGGTTCAAGTGATCTTTCTGCCTCAGCCTCCCAAGTAGCTGGGACTACAGGCATGTGCCACCATGCCCAGCTAATTTTTGTATTTTTAGTAGAGTCAGGGTTTTACCATGTTGGCCAGGCTGGTCTCGGACTCCTGATCAGGTGATCCATTCACCTACCTTGGCCTCCCAAAGTGTTGGGATTATAGGCATGAGCCACCATGCCCGGCCTTTTTTTTTTTTTTTTTTTTTTTTTTTGAGACAGAGTCTCATTGTGTCTCCTAGGCTGGTGTGCAGTGGTATGATCTCAGTTTACTGCAGCCTCTGTCTCCTGGGTTCAAGCGATTCTCCTGCCTCAGCCTCCTGAGTAGCTGAGATTACAGATGCCTGCCACCACACCCAGCTAATTTTTGCATTTTTAGTAGAGGTGTTGCGGTGGGGGGAGCAGGGAGGGTGTTCACCAGGTTGGCCAGGCTGGTCTTAAACTTCTGACCTCAAGTGATTCGTCTGCCTCAGCCTCCCAAAGTGTTGGGATTACAGGTGTGAGCCACTACACCTGGCCTAGAACAACTGCTTTTCTTTTCTTTTTTTTTTTTTTTTTTGAGACAGAGTTTCACTCTTGTTACCCAGGTTGGAGTGCAATGGCGCAATCTCGGCTCACCGCAACCTCCGCCTCCTGGGTTCAGGCAATTCTCCTGCCTCAGCCTCCTGAGTAGCTGGGATTACAGGCACGCGCCACCATGCCCAGCTAATTTTTTGTAGTTTTAGTGGAGACGGGGTTTCACCATGTTGACCAGGATGGTCTCGATCTCTTGACCTCGTGATCCACCCCCCTCGGCCTCCCAAAGTGCTGGGATTACAGGCGTGAGCCACCGCCTTTCTATCAACATCTCACTGTTCACAAAGTGCTCTCACTTCCATTACTTCCATTGTTTTTCACTAAACCCTTATAAAGTGGGTATTTCACCCCCATTTTGAGGATGCAGAAACTGCCCCCCACTCCAATGCCTGAGGGGACAGGGCTGGGGTGCAAACTGAAGCGAGCTCACACGGGATCCCTTGCCCTTCCCAGGAAAAGGCGCTGACCCTCCAAAGAGGAGGGAGAGGGGAGGGAGTGGGGAGGAATGAGAAAGGTTGTGGGGAGGAGGAGGAAGGGAGGGGGCAGGTGGGGGAGGAAGGGAGGAGAAGAAAGGAAATGGGAGGGAGGAGGGAGAAATGGGAGGGAGGAGGGAGAAATGG